CACCCTCTAAGCATACCCTGCTTCATGGTATATTTACCTCTAAATGGGACCATCATTTACTAAAAGGACATCATGCTGTATCGAAGAAGACTTGAAACTAGAGATTGAGACTATAAACTCATGTTTACTGAGGTAATAAATCAAGTGAGGAGTAGAGTCATTTTCTTATAAACTTCTACACAATCAGAGTTCTTTTTTACAACCAGAGTAGTCGCACCATGATGGCTGAAAACACATTTAAAGTAATGGTTGTCTTCCCATCAGCCCCAGCAGTAGTTTCTGACACATGTTTACATTATAATGGCAGATTTTAATGCCAGAGTGCCCGTCATAGTCGGGCCTGACAATTCTCGAGCCCTACAATGGAGATGAGCAAACCCATAAACCAATAAAACATAATTCTAACCACCATCAGAGCAAAGTGACTTCAGCATCAAACACACAGCAAACACAAAATGGTCTTTTGTCTAAGAAGATATATAAGAAGTGAAAGTTTAGTTTGCTAAAACTGCGTGTATGAAGCTCCTTAGTTCAGTCCCAGTCGTCAAGAGTTAACAATGACCAACTGCCTCCCACCAATTAACTAACTTCATTAAACCCTGTGAATAACTGGAGTAGTCACCTGAAGTAGCCAGCTGTTGAAGTGCAGTCAGCTCCTGATGGACAGCCCTGTTTGACCGAGGTTTGTTGACGAGTTGGACGACTACATCATGAGGACTCTGGCACTGCCAGGGTTAGTCAAGCTGGGCTGATGGCTACATAGCCATCAGCCCAGCTGAACATGGTGGGCCTCCTCCCAGGTGAGCAGCGTTCAAAAGGCCCCATGTGAGTGGACATGTCTGAACCAAAGCAAGAGGTTCCTTAAAGTGGTAGGTCCCCACGATGCCTATCCAAAACAATGGTATGTTACATGCTGGCAAGCTAACAAGTTTAACATAAATACGAGGATTAGCATGTTGGCAATTTAGTTGAATGTGACTGGAACTGTGTAGCGATATATAATGTGTTGTGCATTTCCTCTTCGGTGGACACTAAACACCTCCACCGCTGGCATATATCTTGTCATGCACATTACTGCCCCACTGACCAGCGCCACCGCCAGGTTCAAATTGTAATCTGCTGAGTCACTACTTCCTTTTGCACACTTCTGCTTCCATCAGGATTTCGGTGTCCCCTTGACCTTTCCGCTAGTGCCACCATGGAATGAAATGTTGGTCACCTTCACATACCTATTCAGTTATCTACATGGTCCGATACTGACTGAAAGTTACGGTTAATTGGGGAGATTATAAGGTCTTGGCAGAGGTCTGCACTGAGCTGACTGCTTTCTTGCTTGGCCTTTAAATCTCCTTATGCAGCCCTCTTCCTCCTATATACATCGCACTAAGATCATCCCCAGATTTACAACTCCCTCCCATTGTATTCCTTCACACAATGGGTCTGGAGAAAAGAAGCTTGGATCTCCTAATTGAATCACCACGTTCACCAATCTGCAGAGATTTGGAACTGTGTTAACAAATTGCCATACGTGAGCATGTAGTAGTTGTAGCATGACGCACCACATCCTTTTATACATTTTACAGTTAGACTTCAAGTGGTTCTCCAAAGGTTTTGGTATACCAGGTAGTTTGCTGTTCCTGAGCCTTCTTTCTGAGGCTTAGAGTCAAAGCACTGTTTACCTCAAAAGAGCTTTGAGAAAGCTGTACAATGCCTCACATTGCTACATTTCAGTAGAAAAACACAAGGCCTTGACTACAAGGGGTGGGAAGCTTAATCAACAGGATTTGTCTTTTCTTCTCAGATTTACTCTTAAATGTTCCTCCCTAATGAGGCCTCTCAGCAGGCTACTTTTACTTTTGATTTCTTATGAGGGAGGGTTCACAATATACCAAATTAGCTGTTTCTTAAGAAGTTTCCCTCTAATCGTATACACCATCTGCTATCACACAGGCTAGAGCATTTATTTTGGAAAAAAAAACTTAATTCTACAATCAGTACATCTTTGGTTTAGCTCTTAATGCTGTATGTTTGATAGAGACTGTTTTGAATCTCTGGCTCAAATAAAACATTCCTTGCTTGCCTTTATACTCATACTGTTGCCCCTTATGAGGTCTAAATAATGTAGTTATTTCTTTTCTTTCAAATATATCAAATAGCAAAAACAACAGATGCGTAAAACCAACATCCCATAATACATAAGGGTTGTTTTAACAAAATATGCTGCTAAAATGGGAAGTTTGTCCTGAGAATGGTGCTAGAGAGGAAAGGCAGTTGGGCCATTACAATCACCAGGGTTCATCCCTGTGGGAGCGTGAATGTTGAGAGCAAATTGATCTACTTTGCCAGCTAGAGTACACAACTTGTCTTCTGTGTTGAGTGGACATTTTATGGTGATTAAAGAGGAAGAGAAAGAAATGTTGTTACGGAGTGTCTAAAATGGAACAGGTTCATCCTCTGGGGAGCTTAAATGTGCTCATCGCAAAATTGATCATTCGATTTCTATATTTCTTGAGTAGAACATTTTCTTTCTTGTGGGGATTCACCAGAAACGTTTCTAGAGTAGGCCTATCCACACTTGGATGGACTGATATAATTGTCTGGGAACTAGTTTGGCAGAAAGAGAGAATAACAGTTGTTGATGGTACAATGAGGGTATTTTAAACAATCAAAAAAAAAAAAAAGGAATGATTCTTTAAGATCCCGCAAAGCTCAACAACACGACACATTGTGCACTGTGGCTTCCTGACGGTGCAGCCGGTTTTAGAGGTCAAAAGACAACTTCAATTATAACTTCAATAATTACTGGACTGGTGCAATACAATGCTGGATGTTGACTCTCTCTGAAAAGCTGCTCCCTTAATCCCTCTGTTCACAGTCTTCAACAGAACATGGCACACTTCCCTAATTCTCATTCCCTGCCATCTCTGCCGCTGCCGGGGGTTGGGGACCAAAATCCAAACATCACACAAACCTCCGACAGCAAACACAAATTAGCTAGCTGTATCAGATGTCCCAACAGCTATAGGTTTTACATTTATATATCAAGAAACACACAGAATGTCTTGTACCACAACAGGAAATATGATATCTCACTCAACAGCTCAGAAAATCTTATCTGCAGAAAGTTTCATTAACACGGAAAGTTTCACATCACACGCGAGCTTTAATTATACTGTACGACTATTAACCCGACACACATTGGTGGAAAATTATGAATTGAGAACAGTTAATTTAAGCTTATTGAGAAAAATTGCAGACAAAATTGAATTAGGGGGAAACCACAATTATGGTCTTTAATTCAATGGAATGTGTGAGTGGTGGTTTAAAAGACCACTCCTCCGAATTCATATGCACAGACACGTCGACACACTGCATTACTGCACCATTCTATCTCAATCTTTGACTCCCCCCCTAATTTATTCCTTATGTGGAAGACCACTTAAGTTACATTTACTGTATAAGCTGTTGAGAACTCAACAGTTGTATATCCCCCCCAAAAACTGTGTGATATTACAGTTTTGGTTTATGCAACTCATTTCTTGTGCAAACAGAAACATGAAATGCAAGACAGAAAAATGACAGGTTGCAGAGAAAGCCTCTTGCTGTATGATATTACAGTTTACCTGGTACTGTAGCAGCAGCGTCTGTCGGAGGCCCCCCACTCTTCTGGCAGTTTCAGGTTGAGTATTGAGCTGTGACCCGCCTGCAAAGCAAAGTCGCAGCTCAGCTCTCGATCACCGAGCGAATCCTTCAACAACAATGCCAGCGAGACAATTTATTACTTTTAAAAGGCTAAAAGGACTTTTGTGGATCGATGGAGGCAGAAGTAGTATCAACTGATACCTGCTGGGATATCATGTTTGAAGGTTTCTTTCGGAGTGTACGTATTAGGTTTCAGAGAGTAATAGAGGACTTAATTGGTTTAGTTAACAATAGTGCTTGGTTCATATGGACATGAACAGCAGTGTCCTGTGTGTTATGACCCACCCACCACCTTCTTCCCTACTTCCAATTCCATTTGAAAATGAATTAGCAAGTGTAATCCATTACAAAATAAGGTTCCCTACAAATGTAATTCCCTATTCAGTTTCATTGTATGGGGACGTATTCTTTTTAGGAGACAGCGCTGATACTTCAACTAGCAGTTCGTGCCGTCCTAACAGCAATCATCCGTCCCGTTGCAGTGTCCTTGGAGCGGAGCCTCGGTTTCAGGGTTGCTGTTGGATCATGTGTGTTTTCAACCCCATCAAGGAGTGAGGTTTACTACATCCGAGAGAGGTGTGACTCCTTAAGCCTGAAGCTTGATGGGACTCGCTCCCCTTCAAAACCAAAGAAACAAGAAAAAAGCGAGGTATACAGTTATATAGAAGACTGACAGTAAATAGGACCACCTTTATATTCAAGTCAGTAAAAAAAAGAAGAAATGAAATGTTTAATAGCCGCTGATGAAAATATCTCTTCTTGTACATATTTCTTGTGATTGTAAGTATTATCTAAGCTGTAAAACTGAATCTTTTTTGATCTCTAGCAGAATACATTAGCCCTAAAATGATCTAACATAACATATTGCAATACTAAAAACTAGAGTACACCCCAGCACGCACACACACACACACACACACACTGACATTAACCAAGAGGGAGTTCATGTTTTAATTGCTGACACTATAGCTTCTGGCTGTCGGAACCAAATGGGTCCCCTTGCAGGAAACATAATCCATTATCATAAATCAGGTGCGCCAACACAGACAGGTGCTGCATGAATAATTAAAGGTCGGTGCATTAGCACTTTTGTGGAGGTATGTGTTTGAGCAGACGTCATTGGACGGGCTAAAAGCACCACAAAACCCTTCCATCCACATTAAACAGCTTAATGTTTTGCACCACAGACGGAAACGATGTAGAAGTCGGAAAGACACATAACCCCCCCCCCCACCCCCCCCCCCCCCCCCCCCCCCCCACATCCTCTGAATGTAACCAAAACAGAAGGAGTATCCAGGTGAGGGACACCGCTCGGAGCGGTGCTTGTCCTCTGTTTCGCCGTGTGGTCCTATCTCTTGTGGTTGCGCTAGTACCCTGGTCTGAACCCGAGCAGGTCAGCCGGGTTACTCCGACTCTGTAATGGAGAGTCCAGGGAGCTGGAGGCGGAGCAAGCGAAAAGGTCTGCTCAAGCAAGCCGGCGTTAGGACTACAGATCTCCATTCTAACATTAATTACACTTGAGGCCAATTCATTTGGATTTCTGCCCAGTGAGAGATAAGCTTTAACTGCAGACAAGGCAAGAGAGGAGCCCGAGAGCAGGGAGAGATACTCTTGATGCTGCCCTATTTGACTATGCAGTGGTTCTTTTATCGCAGAATGTTTCGTGGCCTCTACTGCCACGTGTGTGGAATTCAATCAACCCAAACTTTACATAACACTTGGGGAAAGGCTTTTTTAAAAGCGCAGAACTGTCTCATGAACATTTAGAGATGAAATATATAGAACGAGAGTGTCACGGTGAAATTTGTACTGGAGGGATGATTGTCATTTAGTGGATCAACAATTTTTTATTCTCCATTAACCGAGCAAAAACAAATACTGTCAGTTTCCACCTTCTCAAATGTGGGGGTTTGGTGCTTTTCTTTGTTGTATTTCACTGGAGATCTTTGGATCCTGGACTGTTGGTCAGACAAAGTAAGCAGTTTAAAGATTTGGGAAAAACTGTAGAGACAAAATGATTATAAAATAATAGCCCTCGTGTGTTGTTAGAAATATTACCTTTCTAAAAGTAAGAAAATACAAACAACAACTGTTTAAAAAATATACATCACATTTATTTGTACTGATACCAAGAGTCCGTACAGAGTTGTCTTTGTCTACCGATGTGTCCGGGCACTGAAGTTAAGAACCTGTTTCCTATCTCCATACATCCAACAGTCAACAAACTGTATCACCAAGCGTTGCTTAATCACTACCAAGAAACAGAGAGTTTGACATAGCTGACACACACCACTGTTTTTTTTGTTTTTTTTTTGCTCTAAAGGTAACACAATGTACAAAATGCAAGTCTGGAAAGATTCTTGGTTCCATAAAAAACTTTTTCCTCAATGTGTGAATAAGAAAACAATGCACTTATCTCGACTGAGCTTCTGCTGCATTGCTTGTTAGGCAGCCAAGGGGTAAATTGACGCAGATAAGTAATGAAAAGAAACAGGCCGGCTGATCCCTGTATTACTACCACGGCAGCTTTTCGAGGAATTGTTCATGCTCTGTGGAGCCACAGAGCCGTAGGAGCCGTCTGGAAGTGGTTAGACGCCAGTCAATGAGAGGAACACTTGATGTCAAAGTAAACGGTTAAACAAATCTTTCCACGCAATGCACACTACAGTACAGCACTATTGTGATGTCGGAAAGAGCTGTGCAAATCAAACACCCAGGGCCTCAAAAGAAACAGGGAACTGAAATGGATGGAACTCTGGAGAACCGGCAGACTCAACCTCCCTTTGGCAGGCCTCGGGCCCTTCGGGACTGGCTAAGGCCAAAGCAAGCAGGCAGTCAGAGGGAATAAGGGAGCTGAAGACTGGTGGCTCCCTCCGCGGAGATGAGGAGCACTGTGGCCTCACCAGGAAGCTGAAGGCACCAGAAGAACCAGGAGCATTGCTGTCCATGTCAGGCCCCGTGGCGTGCAGTGCACTGAGCGCTGGTTGCTTTTTGCTCGCACACCTAAGAGAAGGAGGAGGAGGAGGGGGGGGGGAGTCAATATGGGCGAAAACGAAGACGCAAAACAGAATGCAGGAACTGCAATTAATGTTTAATGTTAAATAACTCCATTGATCTTTCAAATGAATCCGTCTCAAGGAAATGGGAAGAAATGGTGAAAAAAAGAGAAATGGACAGTGAAGGGAAAGGAAAACATGGCAGAAAAACAGCAATCCATTGCCTAATGTCACACGCAGGACTGCAAGCTTTCTGTCCATCTGGTTGCTTAGAAGTTAATTGGCTGTGTAAGAGAAGGAAGGTTTGTGTGGGCGAGGTAATTAAAACAGTATTAGCCAAAGAAAACTTGGCTCGCACAACATCTGCGATGACTCAACTAAGGGCAGAACATAAGAGAAAACAGCCTGTGCATAGCGATTGGCTTTCAGAGGTGATGTAAGGGAGCGAGTGGCTGAGAAGGAGGTAGGTAACTAACTAGCTTACCGGAGGAGGTGACCACTCGGACTTGGGAGCTGACCGCTCCCTCTCCCCCTTCGCTGAGGGCGCACACCTCGATGATATAGGTGCCTCCCTCTGGCAGTGACAGCAAGGTGGAAGGGTTAATGGTTCTGGTCACCTGGTTGTGGCCTCTGCCCTCCTGTTTGAGTAACACCTGCAGGACATGGGCACAAAGCCACTTTAGGTTTTACAGAGGAGAGTCTAGCTGCAGAGTTCCAGGCCCGGTTCCGTCGTCGAACCCTTTCCTGTCACAAGCACCGAGGCGGAAATGAGTACGTCAGAGACGATCATCAGGATACGATAGCACGCGTTCATTAGTTTGAAATAAGCCACATGACCTCCACCAATAACAACATCAGGTAAACAACACAAACTTAGTATTTTGAGAGAACTGTAACTTTTAAAGTTAGGTAACGTGGCCTCCCAACCTTATGCGTTTGCTAACTATGCTAATGTTGTTAGCAAAGTAACGTGAAATTAGCTAAAATTATTGCATTAATTAACAATTTCTTTGCCCGTTGCTGCTGTGGTAATGTTAAAGTTAGCTTGCTAGCAACGTTAGCATAGCTAGCTAAAGTTATCATAGCTAGCTAAAGTTATCATAGCTAGCTAATGTTAGCAATTTAATGATGTTAGTACAAGTTATTTGCTGCCTAACGTTACATTACCTAACTTTATATAACTACATGTTTGTAGTTGTATTGACGTTGTATTGTGTTGTTTATGTGTTATTGGTAGAGGTTGTGTGGCATGGATGTGATACGATGTGCGTTATACGATGTATTAGATGTATGCTAAGTACGCTACTTTAGTAATGATAAGCGCGATAAAACAATACACATGCGCAATATAGTGGCATTTAAACGTATATTGATAAAGAAGCACGATAAACACTTTGATTTTTCACATAATCATGTGATAAGGACGTGATTTTCACCAAGGGTGGAGACGGGTCCCAGCGCTGGAGGTGCCTGAGCCTGGAGCTCTGCAGCGGGATGCTATTGGGTTTACATGGCATATACACTTTGTACTCATAGAGGTATTAAACAAACTCAGTATAACTGCCCTTTAACAGTAACAGAGCAGCAACAATATTTCAGATGTCCAGGAATCCAGAAGTGAAAGTCCTTTATTTTCTACATAGACAATGATGAGCTGCGGTGGGAGCACTTTCCAGGCTCGGGTGGACATGAAACTCTCCTATTTTAATCAACAGTCCAAAAGATGAGCAACTTTGTTAGAAAACATTTGGTTCTTTAAATACAAAAAGTCAAAGTTACAAGACTGTGTGCATGCAAAGGTTAGGAGAGAAGAGTCCACTACGATCACCAAGTTAAAAATGTCCAATCACGGAGAATAATTTTGTTGCGCATGCTGATAACGACGAGCTGAACCTAAAGTTTACACTTCAGATTAGCCTTATAATATATTCAGCAGTTTAAATTGACTCACTCTTCGGATATTGGGTCAATGTTGTTATACCAAATTGGCAGTAAAAGCATGCTTTCTCAGAAACAAGGTTGAAATAATAGAAACTCAACATGAATAACACAAAACTATAGCATTGTTAAAATATCCAGCAGAACACTGGAACAACTGGAACTAGCTGCTCCTCCCAATTAGCAAATCTATAGTATTTGCATAATGTTTAAATGTTGTCCTCATTTTATGCAGTTGAAGAAACGTGACTTTGAAGAATGATCATTACCATGTACCCGATGACATCCGATTCGTTGTCCTTTGCCCCCACCGGGTCCCAGTTTAAAGACACGTTGTTGCCCTCTTGAATCCACATGAGGTTAGTTGGAGGCTGAGCAGGAGCTGAGAAGAGAACGCAGCGCTCTGGGTGCAAATTCAAACAGACTTTTAACCAAGAGTTTCAACCAACTAGGTCAATTACTACCCTTTTTACAGGGGGATTTAGAGCGCGCTGCACAGGTAGCCTCCATTCCAGATATAGTGCTACATGATTAGTGTCAGTGCTGTACTCACGGGCTTTCCTGGTGTTGGCTGTGACAGCTGCAGTGGCAGGACCCTGGCCGATGCTGTTGAAGCCTTTTACAGTGATGAGATACAGACTGTTGCCCTCTAGTCCTGTCAGGACCATGGACGTTTCATTTTTCACAGTTCTTTGTTTATTCCCCGACTCCTCCTGTTCCATGTCTTTCCAGTAGCTGACCTGTTAACACAAAATTAATGAAAACAACCAATAAACGTCAGATACTGCATGGAAATGTTCAAGTGTGGATGCAGCACCCCCCCACAGAGCACACAATTTACAAGCACCTCATATCCTCTTGGTCTCCCCGGGCCAGGATTGGGCGGTTTCCAAGTGACACGAATTTCCGATGAAGAAATGCTGTAAGCTTTGACATCAGACGGCGCTTCCCTCGGCTCTGTGAAAACAAGTTGAAATGGTGACAACCATAAAGCTGCTGAAAAGCTTGTCCTCTGTACTTTGAAAATCAATGCAGCCACAAATATGAACCCACCGCCCTCCGCAGAGTGGATGATGACAACTTTGCTGAACGGCCCGTCTCCCTTGTTGTTGTACACTCCGACCTTTACTTCAAACGGGGTGAGGGGAGGGAAGGTCTCGTCTCGGTACTTGTACGTCGTGGAGTCCGCTGACGTCACCATCTTCTCCTTCCAGCCTCTGGTTCCGTTGGCGCGAAACGCAACGATGTACCCAAAGCCCTCGCCATTTTGGAACTCCTCGGATACGGGCTGAGAAATAGAGTGGAAAGACGGGAACTGATCATCACAGAGATAAAGTGCACAACCTGCCTTACTGTAGCGGCACCAGCACCGTACAGCTCTGTGACTGAGGGTGCATTACTTTCTCATTTTAAACAGCCTCTTCTGTGCAAGAGGGCTCTCATTAAACAAAACATGCCTTTTTCCTCTGGTAGTCCCGTATAACCAGCTTTTAATTTCCTACCGCTTGACTGTTGCCGTTGTCTGCCAGTGTTAATAAAGATGCAGTCAGTCTTGAGTAATGGAAACAAATCATATCTGGCTCAGTTGTCCCCATTATGTGGCGCATTTATCTTTCCGTGTCTGACGGGAGGATTTCTTTTTTTGGGACACAGGTTTTTGTGTGCTGGCTTCAATGCTTAGCTGTGGTTTTGCTGAAGTGGCGAGACTGGGGGGCTGTCTTCCACAGCTGCTCGGCGCTTAATCAAATTAAATGGCAATTCATTAAGAGAGCTCGGCTTTAATTAAAATACGGGCTGCAGGGTTTTAAATCTAAATTTAATAAATGACAAACACCTGAACACCTGTTTTTTTGGCAACAAAAACTCAGCGAGCTGTAATGTGTTGATTTGCATAGGCTTCAAAGTAACAGTGTACCCTGAAGGCATCCCCCAAATTAGCCATTTAGTCCACAGAGGGATTGGTGGTGGATGGAGATGTAGTTCACATTTCATTCAATCAACCGTGAATGCCTAATTACGGAGATGATCAGTGGAAATGAATTAGCTTCCATAAAAGTTATTATCAGAGCTGGCAAGGCTTTTAAAGACGTGCCAAGGAATATAGGTCTTTGGAAAAAAAACAACATCAACAAATTAGCTAGTTAAGTATAGAAACACTTGGAGGGAAGTGAGATAGTTGCGGGTGAGAGTGGACACGGTGTGAGAGGGCTGATTGAACCGAGGTAAGTCTTGTGGATGTAATTGCTGGGCCTGCCGGGCTCGGTCCCGATGACTGTGAGGGCATCACTAATGGTCCTCCCAATGGCTCCCCGAGAGAAAAAAACGAAGGAAAAAAAAAAACAGTCTCCCACCGTCGACTCTAATGAGACGGCTGAATGAAGCTGCAGAGACTGTTTCGTCATTCATCCTGCTTAATAACCCTGCCCACCATGGCCGTCCAGGCTCTGACAACTCGCCACAGATGATTGGAGAGGCAGAACTGTCGCGCGCTCGCATGTCTCGGCTGCCAAAAAAAAGGGCCAAGATTCCTGCTCCGTCTCCTTTAATATCCATCGGCATTGATCACTGACGAGGTCCTGATTTATTTCCAAGAGCGTTTAGCAGAACGGGGAAGAAATAGGGCAGAGCTCGAACAACCCGAAATTGCAAGTGCCCGAAAGGAGGACACCGCAGCGAAGTGGAGCATCTCGGCATTGTCCGGCGGGGCTCTTGGCGTCTGACGGACTTATTGATGACTGACCAATTATTACAGACCCACAAGGAGCAGAGAGCAACAACAGCATAGTTTAAAAAGTACTTTAATCTTTTGCAATATTGTACACTCTGTACTTCAGAGGTGATTGGATCTGACCTGCAAAAAAAAAAGTGTGAATAAAAACAGACGAGCGGACTTGATGATGCCTACGCGTGATGAGGCCCTTGTTGAAGAAAGCAAATTGCTCCAATCATGGTGGTTACTGAAACTGAGAAGCTGCAGCAATGCATTTCCTTGAGTCTCATCAAGATGCTCCTTAAGAAAGAAACTATCGCTTTTTATAATTATCTCAAGTTGATGCATGGCTTGAAAGGACTCGTTGTTAAACTTGTACATCCAACCAATCATGGTTTTATGGGACTTAAAGTATCTCCTGGTTGTTCTGTCAACACGGGGTCCTGCACTTATTGTTAAGGAGGTCGTCATTGTGTTATACAAGCTACTCTAATGACACTCTTTATATACCATAATTCGCATTTATAAACAGGAAATGGTCTACCGCCAAACACCATCCCATCTGGAATGGACATTATCCCCCATAATGTGCCACGGAGGGGCACTTCTCCTCATGTGAAGGTTATCTTCCCAGTGGCAGTTGGGCTCCCATACTTAATAACTACAAGAATAACTGTCAGTTGCTTCCACATCTGTTCACTGTTCCCCTGTTAATATATCCTTCGACTGATCTCAATTGCAAATTCTCGCCGTTGCTGATAGTAATTCTGCACACGTGGCGCCTCGGACCTGGCCGAGAGCCAAACTGTCCGCTGATATCCTCTTTGCTTGGCGCCGAGAGTTATTACGTATTTTTTTTGCACAACCCTCGTCAAGGTTTATATTACAAACACATATTCACAAACGTCCCTCGGATTTATAGGGAACGACTCTGAGATTCAAGGTTAATCATCATTGTGCCGCTCTGGTGGGACTCAAATTTAAAATTCACGACGTCTTAATCACCGGGCCGGCTCTGTGTAATACACAGGCCCGGCTGGCCTTCTTTGAGCTTTGTCAGCAAATTCCGCCGCCGTGACCAAGTTGTGCCCTCAAACTCTGAGACCCTGTGTGGTTAAACAAATTTCACAACAGAATAAAGAGGGACTCTGTTTAAAATCTGATGAGCTGTGATCCTGGGGTTGTGTACTGTCATGACAATCTCTCTTGGACACAAGCTCTTCAAATCAGGAGAGCCAATGAGAGACAAGAGCTGGAAATACGTCTCTAAAAACATCCATATTTAGTCATTATTTCAAGTCAATCTGAGGTTTTGTCTTCAATGATCAAGTTTGTTTTTGTGGTATTTGTTTGAATAGGATCTGGTGCTTGCATTGTATTCTTTGCTGCTGCCAGGCCTTTATTTCCCTTGGGACAGTTACATCTTTATCTCATAAAAGTGTTTTCTCTTTACAATAACCACTTCAGCCTCTGATCTTGAGGAAAAGCATCCTGCCCGAGTGGACTAAAGCACTTTCCCGTCTGGTTCGTCTCTCGTTGGAACAGTTGACGCCTTTTCTTCCAGGTTGAAAGTGCTCAAACCCTCGAATGTGTGGAAGCGAGTGACAGATAATCATGTAGAATACTGGAGCAGATGGGTCTACCGAGTCCTCCCTTTCCTGTCCTGATGCTGGGCGCTCACCTGGGCCCCCTTGTGTTATATGTTATATGGATATAATGTGCATGTCTCTCGCCGTATTCAGAGTTCAGAGCATCCCGTGAGCAATTCCGTATAGTATACGTCGGTTGTACGCGTTTCTTTTATGCAGGTAAGTAAAACAACTGACTTTAGAGATGAGATGATTAGGTCAAATATAAATGAGAAAAAGAACACGATCAATATCTATTTGGAAAATGTATGTAAACAACTTGTCAGCCCCAAAAAATGCAATTTGAATTCAATGACATTTCTGCTGAATTTGAAGCTTCAACTCTTCTCGCCAATCGAAATAGATTGCCAACCTCCTGTGCTCAACTTAACTGCTCCAGCAAATCCCTGGATACGCCCGTCCTCCTACCTTTAAGAACATCTCCAGACTCTTCTCATCATTCTCTCACTTCAGGGTCTGAAACGTTCCTCTATGTTTTAATTAGATCCCACTTTGATGGTAGAGGGAATAGGACTGCGTGGAGACGCTGGTCCCCAGCACACATGCAGGGGAAACTGCATCTACTCGTCATATCTCACCTCAAGTGAAAGCTACCGACTGTAAACTGATGCAATCATCTGTATATCTTCAAGTCATTAAACCGTTTCCTTCAAGCTTCGGAGCCACGAGGACTTGCGTCGTCCATCAACCGTGCTTTATCCCCCTTAATAATGTCTGACAGGTATTCCCAGGCAACAAAAAGTGACGGTTTTTAATGAATGGCACATGCAGTAACAACCGCTACATGATTATGAAGTCACATTCACATGTAGGATTTATTACTTAGTGACAGTTTAATCCCTAAGGGAACATTTCAGCACCGATGCTTAAAGGGACCCTTGTTTCAGCGGGCTTGTTGTCACTCATTCATAAATATATTAATAACACAGATTCTCAACCTGCAGGTTCAGAAATGTTCTTATAGCGGCAGCTCGGTGATGATAGATTCACTTAACGTACACATTTATTATCACTTTTATTCTTTTTGTTGAGTAATACTTTCTCAAGTTAAATGATGAATATTTACACCACATGGGTTTCTTCCCACATTTAATCTTGTAAAAATCCCTAAAAAGAATCGCTCCTGTGCTTTTATGCGCGGGGTTTTCAACACCGCAGGCACTGCTCTTTTTCAGAGAGTCGCACTTAGGAAAGGTTGAAAAACACTGGCTTACAGGATCAACATGTTCATTTCCTAGAAAGTCAACTGGAAAATCTGTATTTATTATGTTCTGTATATCGCTCAACGTCAGCATGCCTATTACCATCATCATCGTGGTACTGAAGATTACTGTAAAGCTGCTTTAAAGGTGGCTGACTTTATTTGCTGCAGATAACAGGGACTGTGAACCACACAGCACAAGGTGTTTGTGTTGAGCCTTAGGTTAAATGAATACTTCACACGTAAAATGACCATTTTGTATATCAATTACTCAGCCTGCGTTACCTTGAATTCATGAAGAAAACATAGTTTTTCTCTCGTGCCTCTACGACGAACGGAGGATCAAAAAACAAGAGAAAAGTCTTGATGAATTGAAGTAAAGGGGCCTAAGTAGTCCTTCAAATGATTTATGTGACTTGTGCCTTTTTCCAAAAAAAATACTCCTGAAAAAAATAATTTCAAACTTTGTCCCATATTTACGCACCAGAAAAAAAAAAAAAACTAAAACACGAGTATATTTTCTGACATAAAGTTCTTCCACTTCCGACATCTCATTGCCAGTTTGTTAGTTATGAGCAACTGATCCTTGATCGTCTCCCCTGAGAACGAACATCTTTATATCGCGTTACCACATTTCTGTTTACATATTGCAACATATTGACATTCAAGCAAGCATTATAAGCAAGCATCTTTAGTGCTCAGAATGTTGATCTAATCTATTGACTGGGGGAGACATAGATTTTTTTTTTTTGCATTTCTATTAGACTACTGAACGGTTAAGTTTCATATTCAGCCTTCAAATTCTGCTTGAAACCTTAGTGAACTCTTCTTAATAATTATCATTCTGGTATAATTAATGCATGACCTGTGGCAGATCATCATTCTTTATAGAGCGAGAGGATGTTCAGAGAAGCAAGCATCTTGAATTTCAAGGAGCTTAAATCCTTCTGTAGACATACTCATATCATATCCTCACTGAGGAGTTTTAAAAACACCACACAGTGTGAATGTCATGCTGTTGACATTCCTCGAAACAACAGGAAGCTGCAAAGATTATTTTTAAGTGACAGCAGACTAAAATAAAAGCTTCCATTGACTCCTGTGTATTCGACAAGCATCGGAGTTTGCTGAACTTGAACAGCAGGCCCGCTGTGACATTTGCGGGGTTTTTTTTTTTTTTTTGCACACATGTCATCACGTTTGTGCAGCAGGTTTGGCAGAGGACCCTACCTCCCACGAGATGACCAGTTCGTGCCTGCGGCCGTTCCCTCCGCTGACGTTCGATGGTGCCACTGACGGGACTGTGTGAAGCAGAAAAGGTTAACAATGCATCACTGAACACACACTGCGAACACACTTCAACACGTTTTTGACAGAAAGAAAAGATGAAAATAAAGGGGAAAAAAAAGATGTGCTTTAAGGCTCAATCATCAATTTGAGCTAAACTTGGGTTTTATTAATTGCTAAGTTTGTCATAGTGATGCACTTCGTGATACAGATCATGAATACAACAAGACACTGTTTTAATGATGTTTTTAAAAACATCGCTGAAGTAAACAAACCTTTTACAGCATTAGAAAAACATTCAAAACTCAATCATTTGATGTTCGCGCCTGCATTCAAATACCTGTCGATCAAATTGAGAGTGAGAGTAGGGTTTCCGTGCCGCGTTTTGAATTTATCAACTCTTTTTTTCCCCATCTTTGAATCACGGATTACAACTTTAAGGATGAATTACCGCAACCGTGTGCAGATGCAGTAATTAGTCTGTTAATTGCGCTGAAGCGATAGGACAGATTAAATAAGTCACTTCCAAATGACCACTGACCTTTGTAATTATTGCATTTTATAGACGGGAACGAGCAGTTAGTGAAGCGGCACGCCTGATGCAGACCGGCTCAGTCTATTGCTGCTCATCGTAAATAGTGTATTCTGCTGTGTCTTTGCCTCGGGGCATTAAAGGACAGGCTGCTTCAGTGGAAACACCACGCTTGTTGAAATTCATGTAAGCATCTTATTTTCAACCCTTTTGCCCAATTAAAATGGAGTATTTTAACAATGGGAATCTAGCGTGGTCATGAGGTGGCATGTGGGGGTACTGTAGGCTCTTCAGCTACAAATAATCATCAGCACTCGTATATTCTATACGTTTCTGGACTTAAAATGTGACTAGAATGTAGTGCATATTGACGGCTTGGCGGATTTACCTGCTTCTTTCGTCCTAACGCCTCTGGACGTTGCACTGGGGTCCCCGGTTCCGATCGCATTGCTGGCCACCACCCTGAACTCGTATTCCACCCAGGGGTTGAGCTCCACAGCCATGGCTGACTCCATGTCCCCCGTCACTGGCTCTGGGTCTGCAGACAGGAGGGTTGCTTATGTATTTATTTAAATCGGGACGAGGAACACTCACACACTTTTGTTCACAGTATTTAGAGGGCGTGAGACACGCTGCCTTGAGTGCAAACACAAAGCTTTAAGGGTGATTGAGAGATCCATGCTGAGTGAAGAGTGGAGCAGGACAGTGATGTTTAACACACAGGCGAAGAAATCAGGGAGGTTTTTGTTTTTTAACATTCGAAAGTTCTGTGCTGTTACCTGACCTCAATCAACCAACTGAGCATCAACACAGGCAATGGGAAGAAGGCTTTGGGCCTCCAGGCAGTCTTTAACTACAGAGGATTGTATACGATTAAATGTGATGACTTTGTGCGATGACTTAAAGACCACGTCAACATGTCCAATTACTTTCTGTTCCCCAAAACTGGGGGTAATTGCTACAATCACATTTGTGTGTAAAAGCAGCGAGTCGACACTTTACCCCAAAGCCCTTGTTGTATGTTAAATCCAGTGTGCTCCAGTACAGAGCCAGAAAAGCAACAACACCACACAATAGTCTCCGTTCCATCCAGGTTCCCTGTGACTTGGCATATTGTTTCACCAGGTGGTCACGATACACAATTTACTTGAGGCACATGATGATGTCTGAAGAAGGGCTTACTCGCGGCTTTAGAGCACATCAGGATGTGTAACTCCTGACATAGAGGGAAGCGGATTCCAATCAATTCTCACAGTATCTACAGAGGACTTAGAGAGCGATGTAATTACAAATCACATCCCGAGAGTGAGGGGGAAAAAAACAACAAAAAAAAACGTCGAGATTTATGAATGTGTTTTTGAAAAGAAATTACAAGCAGGTAACATGACTAATCTAGCTTCTTCAGCGCTGCCACAATCAAGCTTCGTCAATATTGATCCCGCAACAACAAACATGACGTAGACTGAGAGCGTATCCGTGTCACAGGCGAACCAGAGGTCTCGCTGTGCTAACAAAGGCAACTCTCGGGGAGGCCGAGGAGCCCGCGCTCTTATCATGGGAAGCAGCTCACGGATGAGACCGCTCCGTTCGAGCGGAGCCGCTCTTCAAACACGAGCTGATAACTCTGTTGGCGAGGAGTGGGAGCTTAAAAGCCCCGGTCCCTCCCCCCCTCTTTCAAGTTCAGCACTGACGATACATCACAGAGTCCTAATTGTGCTTTATCGAATTAAATGTGGTTGAACAGACATGATGTGAGAGGAGTGTATACAAAATGTGATTTATGTATCTTTGGGGATGAATCATTATGGCACCTTAAACTCTGCTATTATAATCACGCAGCATATTAAGATGGATTACACACAATGCTTAGCGAGCCTTCATCCTTTAAATGCTAAGTGATCGTAATTGATGGTTTTTCTTGTCAAGGTACAGGAAAAAAAAAAGAGCAGCTAATTCAGTTTTTGAGGCAGTGGCAGTGCGTCTATGCTAAATGAACATGGATAGGTCCTCTAATTCAAGCCCAAAAGGTTAATTTCCCACTAACCGCTGATTTGACACTGAAGCAAATTCAAAGCAATGACATTTGATGTGGGCCCAAATTGCTTTTTGCAAAGCTCCTCTGAACAACAGCCAAGTTCAAACATAAAACGACAGCTTGGAAGAGAGCCACATTTCAACTTCTTAAACAGGCATGTGAGGGAAAATGGAAACTCTGTTGGATTTTAGATTGTTGTTGAAATGCTCTGTGGCAAAGTTTATGACACTTACATGTGTTTGTTCAGCAAGATAATCTTCAAATGAACGCCACTTTTATGAAGTATTGAAGCAATCGGAAGAAGTAAAAAGCTAACATTTGGCGATAATCAAACCACACCACGGTCACATGACTTCATATCATCATAACTTAGCGAAAAGGCAGACTGGAGTTTGACAAGATGGCGTTTTGTCGTCTCATTCAGCTCCTTTTTGTAAGACACGTAACAGCTTCAGGTTATTTACTGACAAATTTTATATCGTAAAACTAAACATTCAAATCTCTTACGCTCGTGTTAAACACAGACCTTATTTCACACATCTAACAAAAAACCCATTCAAAAAAATACAAACATTGACTTTGAGACGAGAGAACCTGAAGTGCAAAAATGCTGACTCATTTCTGGATTTAAAAGTCTGATTGTGTTAATATATAAAAGTACCTTTCCGCAAGAATGTGTAGTTATATCTCTCGACAACAGTAACCGTGCTCTTGTTGGGCTGATTCACCATCTCCGTACTTGACTTTGGGCAGGATTAAGGCCTTTGTATACGGCCCCACATTAACCTCACAGATCTAGAGGCTGCAATTTGCTCCTTATTGATTACCTGTTTTGACAGTTTGCCAGCCTAATGAAAATGGGCTGCGGGCCTGTAAATTATAGGTGCTGATAGGGCTGTGGTTGTCCAGGCCACGAGTCCAGGACAGGGTGGCCGTGGTGTCCGTGATCTCCTCCACTATCACCACTCCAGGGGGTCCGGGAGGACCTGGTGGAAACAGAGTTAGGACACAGATTAGATTACAGGTTGTAACGGCTGAACCACCACTGCTTCAGAAAAAACAATCTCTGTTGCTGTTGTAAGATGGCCCATATTGTGATGTCTTAGTCACTGTGCATTGATGCCATTAGATACACTAATGGATGCTACCATGCAAGCATTTAAGGAAGATGTGCAGCTGTGTGCATACAGTGACAACATCAATTCTCTGTTGTAATCGTTGCACAAACAAACAGCAGACGTACTAAACTGAACCAGGCGGACACAGGCTTGCTGTCGAGCATCTCCTGCTGACTAAGTGATATCCAAACATTCTCTTTTTGGGAGGGTTTTGGGGGCAGTTTACCAGTTGTGTTGGGCATGGCTGTGTGGTAGACCTTCCTGTGTTCTAATACAGCTGAACATGTGTTTACCTCAGTCTTCAGAAGTAAATGTAATCTGCAGGAGCAGCAAACGTGGAAGGACTCTAGGGGGAACAGCTGTAAATGAAAACCTGGCAGCTGGTGCGCTCAATGAAAACCAATGTACTGTGTCCCCAAAAAGTGCCCAGTAGAAGGTGGCACTGAAAGGTGCATTTGCATTTTGGGATATTAAGATGCATATTGTGTCACTGTAGGTACAGCACACTCTTTATAGTGTGCCCAACACATGGCATATGTCCTCCCCTCAGAGCTTACCGTACAGGTAAATGGCAATCATTAAATCCCATACTAGAGATGGGTTATATGGTCAAAGTTAATGACACAATTTATATCAATTTTGTGATGAAGATATATTCAATTATTTGAAGAAATTAGATAAAATGATGTAAAATCTAATGTAAAAGAAACAAACAATATTAATATGAATGATCACAGAACCCTTCTATATTCAATCATTAAGCAAAACAAAAAGTCCTTTTATGTCATCTCAAATGAAACGATATGAGAAGTAACAGCCTTCAGTGGACAATAATCGTTACATTACTTTATCAGCAACAAGCGGAAACAGCCACAGAATCTGATCACTAGACATTTCAGCCAATCTGTTTTACAGCACATATATTAAACCTGTCCATGCAGACAGACCGTCTGTCCGGCCAAACTCACAGTGGCCATAAAATAATTAGTCAAGGGCAATAATGTGGAAATAGTCATTGTGCAACTGAGCCTTCGCTAAGCCTCGCCCTGCGCTGCTACTCCGTGGAGCTGTCAGAGCTACCGTGGAGCCCACACTGTCACTAACCGCACTCAATGAAGACATCGTAGCGGATTTTTGGAAAAACCAGCCTGAACATGAACAAAATCTGAAACGATTGCATGAGAGTCTATGGAACCCTGGTCGGAGGTGGCAAATGCTGCGCTATGATTGGCCAGCCTGCGTTAGAGGGCGGGACTTAGTAAAGGGTCAGTTGTCTCCACCAGTTGTGCATTTCTAATGTCTGATTAAATTTACTTCCCAAAGCTTCAGCTTATAACAAATATGAGCCAATTTCCTAGATTCACATGAAACATTATTTCGCAGTAGTGCCTGTCATCATGTGCATTTCTACTGAACTAATAAACATGCCAAGATTAATTCTCTCTGAGAAACGCTTTTTGTTTCGGGGTAGTGGCTCAGTTCACAGGGGGGGAAGTGAGTCACTGCCTCCACTAAAGAGTGCACGAGAGACGTCACAGTGTACTGGAGCACTGACAGCAGATGACAAGCTCACCTCGAACAAGGAGTTCGGCCTCCGCGAATACAGCGTCAGCACTGGTCTGGGCCCGGCACCCGTACCTCCCAGCATGCTTCAACAAAATGCTCCTAATCATCAGATCCACTGTTGAAGACTGCTGCAATTGGGAATGAAAAGGATAAAAAAGTTAGTTATTCGGCAGGCCTAAATGCACTTGACACGAAGAGTGTGATTCCTTTACATCTTGTAGAGGCTCATGCGGCTTGAGAGATTCCTGTTTAATTCAGGTGCTTGCTTGCTGCTACTTTCTTCAGCTACCCGTATTTCCTCTCTCTGTTGAAATGAGAAACGCCGGAGGCAAGTCTGGGAATAATTCAAGGTCCACAGGCAGCTGTTTAGCACGAAACCTGATTAAAATTACAAACCATGCATCAGCCAGGAATCTGTTGTGCCTGTAACGGATTGTCACTGCAAATACTTTCCCTCCTGAGCATGGGTAGTAGCAGAGGACACATCAGGGCAGATGTTGATAGAGGAATAGTGACATGAAGAGGACTCCCTACTCTCTTGCACATTTGTTTTCAACTTGATTTCACGGTTTGGTTACTAATGATTTTAATTCTGCATTATAGAGTGGGTAAATTAAACTAAATGAACCAAATGAAGCTTGATGAAACTTACTTGACATTGACTTCTTATGTTGTGAAAGGATGCTTCTGAAAAGGGACGTTCAGCTTAGTTTAACACGTAATTGTTTGTGTGTACAAGAGACATTCAGCATAACAATGTTACCGTGTAGTAAGAGTTTTTTCTCACGGGGGAAGGTCAAAATGACAAGGTTAACAATGTAACCGTGATGTTTTCAGGAAGGCAAAGGTTAAGCGGCTCTTTGTTTGCGTAGCTTTTGTTTTTCGCTGGGAGAATTTATACGACATCTTCCTCAGAGGATCCTTGACCGTGTCTGCCTCGACCTATTCTAGGTGACGAGAATCAAACCGACAGACAAACCAACAGAAAGAACGGGTACAGCTCAGGAGGGGCGGGTGGGGAATGGATTTGCACCCATGTCTTTACAAAGCCATCACTTGATAAGGAAGATGACAAAGCAATAATGTACATCAACAGAAATATTGAAGTTTCAATTTTTGTATAATTTTCTTTTGTCATGATTATTGCTTATTCAAAAATCATAAAGATGCAAATCCACAGGTGCAATCCAAAACAACAGACTAGAATTTGATGTGCATGATTCAATGCAGGTCTTTAATGATTTGCACAGATAACAAGAGCAATAGGTAATTCACATCATTACACAAAAAGCTCAAATGGGAACAAGTAAATAATTTGGACTTCAATAGGTCAATGGGTTAACCAACAACCACCTGTCTACACTTAGCAGGTAAACATGTATACAGACAGACAGACAGGTAAAGCTACAATGGATGACAGACGGACAGATAGAGAGACAGGCTGATAGAAAGAAAAATAGATAACCATAACAAATATGACGATTGTATTCCTCGTCTTCTGCTCTTACTCTGGCTCTTACTGTTTGGATGTATTCAAAATGGCCGCCGTCCTGTTGGAAGTTGATGGGCTTCTGGTTGAAGAACCACTGGAAGGCCACATCCAGCGACGTGTCATGTGCGGCCTTGCAGCTCAGCACCACGCTCTCCCCCACGGTCACTTCCACTCTGCTCGGGCTGAGCTCCACACGCATGGCCTCTGGAAGCACAAAGCTGCTACACTGTCACATCAGGCTAACCAAAAGCTAGCGTCAAGCTGCTGCATTCCACTTTGACATCACTGCCGGAGCAATCACGAGAACCCGGACCCTAACTCGGGCAAAAAACAACAACACACACTCACCTTTGTTTGGATAAATACCCTGCTGGGCTCTGATCTAGACTGTGTACAGTGCATCTATGAGACCAAGGCCTTTACGCTGTGTCCTTGTAATATGATTCTTGAAAGTGAGAGCCCTTGGTTCACGGTTGAGCAAGCACAATAAATTTCTTGGCGCCCGAGCAAAGGTAGAGGGGGGGAAGAAATGACATTGGGGACTGTTTACTGGTGGCAGACTTGTGCTAATTTGGCAGAAAATAAAAGGCCCCCGGGGCATCACTTACCTTTTACCCACAGTACGGCCGTCATCTCTGCCGAGCCCAGCTGATTCTCTGCCCGGCACACATAGTTCCCCTCATCTGCTCGGCTGGAGTTGACAATTCTCAGAGTATTGTTCCGTAACAACATAATCCTGTGAGACAGGACACAAAAATCAATACTGGTATGAGAAACAAATACACTTACCAACAGTTGCTCGACAAGTTTTCGAGCATGAGACCGCGTGTTGGCGCTTGCGTCGGGTTACAAGAATAGCAGCGTTCACATGGGATGAGATAAAACTGAACAGATAATCTCAAAATAAGCATCCACTGGAGATTCCAGTGGAATACCTTAAAATAAAACTGTGTTTTCAGCGAGCAAATTATTATCACTGAATTGAAGGACAAAAAGCGCATGACGGTGCGTTGTTTGTGTTACGAGAAAGCTCAGAGGACCGAGGGATGTGGAGTCAAGAACAGGGTTTGTATTTGTTGCGCAACCTTCAGCAAAAGGAAGATGAAAATAAACCCTTTTCCGTAGAGATCAATCAAGAGTTAAAATGTGTTAATGAATGTGATTTGGAGATACCACTAAGTAGCCCTATCTCGAACAGGATTAAAAAAAACAGATGTTGTTAAAGATACAGATTAAGGTAATGGGGACACATTTTCTGTAAAACAAAAAAAAAAAAAAAGTATTGATGATAAGAACAAAGAACCACAGTATTCCTCTGAATTTCAATTTGGGTACAATGATGCACCATATCTGATCTCCTGCCGCCGAAAGAGCACAATAGGCTGCCAATCTGAGTAATTGCCGTATAATTTAAAATTCATTAAAGGACATATCGGAAAACATCATCTGTGGAGAGAACGCTACACAACATGAAATAAAATAGATTTTCTTTTGTTCCTCTGCATCAATATTTCCATAAATCTAAATAAAACGCTGATGGATCCACCTGACAAACCCTAAATATTGCAGCATTCAATGAATCCCAAAACATAAGCTGTAAACCGCGGCGTGCATATCACCGAGCTGTCCTCCTGGGAAACACAAGTGTAATAGAGAGGGGAGAAAAAACCAACAACACCACCACGCCGGCATTCATAAGTAGCCCCTTATCCAGCTGAAGGACACTAGCAATACAGGATCGACATGTCGCTCGGAGTTGTGAACAACAGCTGGAGCATTAAGCGCTTGACATCAGATAGTATAGAGTGTATCAACACCGGAGCCAGACGTGTGAGCAGATGGCTGCAGAGAAGGAATCATATGAAAGAATATCCCCATAGTGTCTCGTGCAATCCCCTTTTTATTCAAAAATCCAAATATTTACATCACATTTGATTTCAGCATTGCCTCACGGAGGCGGGGATGAATATTTACAAAGTTATTGGTTTATTAGAAACGTCCAAAATCAAGATGATGGGTGTGTGTGTGTGAGGTGTTGTCGTCTTATGATCTTATTTGTGTTGTTTGGCATTTATATTTGCAACACTAAGCTCTTTCATCACGGGCAAAGTGATTGAAATTCACGAGGGCGTGACAAAATCTTGCCACACATAAGATAATCCAGAGGCAATCTGCAGCCAGGAGACATTTTTCAAATTAGGGTGGAAATTCACAACTGACAAGGCAGAGAGGCAGAGAGGACAAGGTGGGAATATGCAAATAGATTCAACCGTAGGAAATCTAAAGGAAACATTTAGAAGACACGGCAAACCAATGTGGCATTTGAAAATGTGTAGTTTTTTTTATTACAAAAGGGGCTTTCTGAGGTGAAGCCAAATAGACTGCTACAGAATACTTATAAACCTATGAAATCAGAAATAGTCTTCTTTTTTTTATTTATAAAAAATGCCTAATTACTGAAGGCACAGTCTGACTCTTAGACAAAGAGTCTGTGGGCTGCAACTGAGTCTGCCACATACTTTCAAACTAATGGGATTAATACTTTCTGTTTAAGAGACAAAAGCCCTGAACATTAGCGGAAATCCATGTTAATTACAAACCTTCATTAAGTCAGCACAGCTGTCAATACCAGATAAATGTGAAGCTGCTTCGATTCCTCCCCTGCTCTCCCAAGAACAGAACGTCTCTCCATCCTTTAACTCTTTGCTTTACTATAGGTGATGGCAGAAAATCCTTGCCAGGAGTCACCCTGGCCAAGACCGGCAAAACGCGCTGCTCCTGTTGATTTCGGCCTTTTCAGATAGGAATCACCCTTTCACAAGGTTGGTCTCCGGTCGAGCGGTGACCCCTTAAACACTGCGTTACCCAGATCATTAACATCACTACACACCGCACACACTGTACATATGACAACGACGGCACTAGTAGTGATAGTCAATGATAAATTACTGCGAAGAGAAAATAAACTGCTTTTTCCAATATTGGGTTCTGCCCTCTTAAGACATGGCTTTATCTGAAGTCAGATAAAAACAATATCAAGGTTTTTCAGAAGGATATGAATCTCCCCCCGCGGTGTGCGCCAACATCACACACACACACACACACACACACACACACACACACAC